TATATCTAAAGCTGACACAACAAAACCAATATAATTTCCGCACCAAATCTATCCATTTTGTCAATAAAAGTCTTTTGAATAAGCGATTACACATAATGCATACAATAACTGCAGGAAAACCTATTACATAACAACTGTCTTTTCCTATTTCCTGCCGAATCCACCCAACTTTAAAAGGCACCACTCCCCTCCTATTAAACCCAGACCCTCGCGTCAACAATGGCAATGGGTCTGCGTTGGCGGGCATAAACCTTAAAAAAAGAACTTTCTCTTTCATTCTTGAACTTCCGAAACATTCTGGTGCAGAAGTTATCGAGTCTCAAAAACCACCTAGCGTCTTCCTACGCAAAGGCAAAGAACTATTAAGAGAACGATTTTTCTCGTAATAATAATAATAAAGAAATAAACCACGACTCGGTGTAATCAATTGCGTAAAAAAAGTAGCGAAAAAGGGTACCGAAACCAGGTCACCAAAGGTCAACCTATTCCCAGACTTGTTCGATTTTTGACTTTCACTCCAAAAGCGCCCGGGGCAATCCGTGTCTAGAATCTGTATCGAACAGAACTTGGTAATAGATTGATATCAAGAAGGGGGGAGGTGAGTTGAGGGCTACCGTTCCTGATGGATTTGTTGTCTGGCTTTGAATATTCGGGAAAAACGTGTTGAAAATGCAATTTTGCACTTAGAGAGGTTGACAAAGGTCAGGATAATGGGTCATAATTATTGCTGGTTTTACGATAAAAAAATCGACTTATATAATGATTTACTTTTGCTACCTTGACGGACAGCGGTCAAGCGTGGTTTCGGTGGCAAATCTGAGAAATTTGTCGCATTTGGAATTATTAATTGATTAAATGTTATATAAACGTTTCATTAACACGTGCGGTTTCGACGCCGATCACGTTTTTTAGACGTTGATAAATGATTTCTTGAAGATTAAAAATCCACAAAGGACAGAAAAGTTGCGCGGAGGTGCTTAGATTTGAAAGGAATAATCAAATATAATCAATTATAAATTGAAAAAAATTTAGCACTACAAAATGTATGAGGTATTTTTAAATCGATGCAATGTGTTAAAAGGGACTTATTTATAATTATGTGCTACTATAAAGTCGAGATAAATTAACAAGGACTTAGAAATATCGTTCCTTAAAAGTGAAAATTTATTGGCATTGAAACTCTGTTACAGTTTAATAACTTTGACTTGCTACAGATGCAGCGTAAGGAAGGCATTAATATATCAGCTGTTAAAAAAATGAAAACATCTTAGAAAATTCAAATTACGCGGAAAATAATCTGTTAACTATTGGTGACGGTTGGAATAAAAATGCGAAACTGATATTCTGCGTTGTTCAAAGAAATTAACAAAAGGAAATATTACCAAGAATACTTTAGATAGGGGGACACAGAAGTAACTTTTTACATTAAGAAAAAATACAACCTCCCCTCCCCCAACGATATTACAATACTTTTCTATTGATCTGGATTTTTTTTTATAAGTATCTGTTTAATATTTTTATTTATATTCACTTGCTCTTCTCAGTGTGCTCATTTATGTCTCAGCTTAAATATAATGAACAATCAACTAGAGGGTTGAGTTTGATTTTTTTATTACCACCGTACTTTAATGCTGCACGAGGGCCATTGGCAATGGATGTCTTTGGTCTAGTAACGAGGACCTCACCTAAGCTACCACTTCACTCTCCAGACTTCCACACCCTGCGAACGTAAGGACTTTGCTCCTCAAAAGATTTAACGAGTATCATCCCTCTAAAATGGAGGGTATTTAGCCCCTTGTCCGTTAACTCGACTACGCCTGCCACTGTGTATAGGTTTTTTAAATGAACTAAAACTTTAATTCTTCAGAATTATCTTTCCAGAACACACACAATCATGTTCAAACTCACTAGAAAATATTATCTTTATGCATGCTTCCGTAGATAATTTGAAAAGTTTGTAGCATCCCAGAGGACGTTAATGTTTGGGAGTTTGAGCGAAGATCAGCCATAGTAACTTAAACACAATTTTATTATCACTTTCACTTAATCACCCTGAACAATTTAAGGGACAGAATGCACTAAAACATTACACCCGGGAAAGTAACTATTTACGATTAAGTTAAGTATCATATAAATAAACTCATCTTATAACTGGAGCGCTCTTCATTCTCTTACTTGGATTATCTTTAGATAACTTGACAAACTATACGTCCTCCAGTCGTAATCTTATTCACGCTTCAATCTCCACTTTCAACCATCCTCGCCTACTCTAATGCAAACATTTAAATAGACGTTCAAATTTGCATAAATCTCGTCTTCTTCACAGAGAAAGGTTTTCAACTGAAATCACAGTTAAAAAGATTTTAATCTAACCCAAGAGCATTAACGGAAGAATCTCGGATAGACCCGTTACAAGCTGAAACATTATTTATGCTGTGTTTGCTGTAATTCGGTAAAATATTGTTTTATTCAGAGACACTGACATAGGAAGGGTTATGGATATTTAAGTTAATTTTTTTACTTAAAATTAATTGCAATTTTTCTTGTGATTTAAGAAATGAAAAAAACCTAGAGGAAATTTTATGTGGCTCATCATATAATGCAAACTTTCAGATTTTCCATTTTAAAATAAGAAAGTTCTACGGGAAATATTTTTTTTATAATAAAAAAATGCGATTCAAGTCTGCAGCCTATGCGGGTACTTGAACCGATTTTAGAGAAATATTTGAACATAAAGAAAATCAAATCTTAACAATACTAACAATATTGGGTGATGATGAGTTTGGTGTTTTATGGCGCAAGAGCCAGTTTTGGCTATACTGCGCCAAACATTCATAGGTTTGTGGTCTGGACGGGAAAAGAAGAAAAGGAGAAATTGGATGACAAGATGGAGGGTCGAAAATAGAGAAGGATCACTGGGGTACCCCGGGGTCATGACACTCGTGTTTACCAAAGATAGTAAACCCCTTGGGAAAAGATCACTAGGGTACCTCGGGATTGTGACACCCGTACTCACCTAAAGAAGGTGAGCCCCCTGTGGGGTCGTACAATATTGGGAATAAAGCTTAAAAACTGAACTCTAGAATTAACTGTTAACTTTTTGACAATAGTTATAAAGTTGTTCTAGGTTCATAATTTGACTGGCTTCTGTTTTAAACTGTGCAACGAAAACAGTACAAAGTCAAATTTTTGCATACATAAAGTAACGAGTATTTCAAGCCTTTTTAAAATTCAAGACTTGTCCATGAACAGAATTTCAGAACATATTACATTTAAAGAAGAAACACTTGACTTCCTCTATTTTATCTTTCCAAGAAATCAGGAGAAGAATCTAATTAAAATTTATTTTTATGCAGAATTTCTCGGATAATTTGAACAGTTGTAGCACATAATTCTTTTCAGTTGCTACAATTTATAAAAGAACGTCTTATTTAAACAGGTTTGCATATAGATATATATATTATCTCTAGCCGGTTTTATAATTAAGTCTATTTTTTCTCGTTAGACAAACAAAGTTTGCTTCTCATATTTTCCAATTAAACGTATGATATAAATTCAGGACTTTGAAACATAAAATTATTTGAATTTTCTCAATTTAGTGCTGTTTAAAAAGAAATGTGTAATTATAGACTAATAAAATGTTTGCTACATTAAAAAGTTCATCCGATTATTTTAAAAAGTTTATAGATTTTGGTTGATTATTATAGTTTACTAGCACTTAAACTTTACTTTCGTAAAAAATGTATGAATATATATTTTTTTAAATTATTGATATCCAGGTTATAGCATTAAACTTTCGATTGAATAGAGAAAAAACACTTTCACATATATATCCCTTACCTCTTAATTTAAAAAAGGAAGAAGTTAAATTTCGGAATATAATGAATTTATTTGTTACATCGTTGTACCCACAAATCTTTGGAGACAACTTGAGAAAAACCCGTTCATAGCAAGTCTCTACTCAACATAAGAAACATGCCTTCCGAATATCAAGTCTGTAGGTGAAATAGCCGATTGGTCACGAGTTCGAGTCCAGGTGCTACTGAAGACTCACCGTGTAGAGGAAAACAAAGTTCTCATAGAGGAGTGGAAGTTTGGAGAATAGGAAGCCAACTCATCCAAGTCACTGGGTAAGTGTGTGACTGCATTAACGTCGCACTACACAGCAACACGAGGGCTAGGGTCTCGAAAATTTGAATCTTGAGGACATCTGAGCTAGCAGTCCTTTCTCCAAATTACCACACTACGCTAACGGGAAGACTTTCAGCCTTGGCATATTTCACGTACATCATCCCCTCTGCATGGTCAGTCTTCAGTGGCACTAGGACTCGAACTCGTGACACACCCATCAAGAGTTCGTGACCAGAACCACTAGGCTACCACAGCCCCGTCGAAGTTACTAGACTAAGGTTCCAAATTACGAGGACCCTCTCCAACAGCCCCTTCGCTACTTTACGACATTAATAAAGAATCGTTTTTAAATATTTTAAGGTTTCTTAAAACATTTACAAGAATTTCATTGAAGACCTACAGAATTACTTTTAATAATCAATGAAAAAAAAAAAAAAAAAAACAATCCTACATCGTAATACCACTTTTTTCGACTCTAATTTTAAATTTGTGAGCACAAAGGTAGGAACTCCATAGTATTGGTACCCCTAGTTTTCAATACTATTTTTTTAATTCCTACTATTAGTTGACACTCTCCCTATATATATATATATATATATATATATATATATATATATATATATAT